TTGTAACATTTAATTTTTAATAGCTTGAGTAATCATACTCTCTTAGATTTTTTTTTAAATATATAAAATTTATGGAAAAATCTAAATTTGTATTATATACTTAATGTGATTGTGTAATTTATTTCAAACAATAAATATTAAACAAAAATGATAGAGAATACATAAATTGTTATCAAAATTTATTTTTAAAACAATTGGTTGTCATATATATATTAATAGTTAATTCTATAATTTTTACTTAATGAAATAAGTAAGAATATTTTATATGTAATAATTAATTTAATGATTAACTTAATTAAAAGTATAATAGATTAGAGACTAATTTATTTCTTGAAATATTATAAGAAACATTTACTGATAATATATGGCATTGGGTATGGGCATTCGGGATCTTTCGGATTGGTTTGATTGATTCAGACTTTTGGATCTTCGATACTATGCTTACAAGTCATATTCAAGCGAGTTTTAAAAATTATCGGGTTGGACTCGATTTGGTTTGAGTTAAAGACGTCGAGGCCTATATGGCATAACTAAAATGCTGCAAATTATAGGCAAGTGATATTTTCAAAAATGAAAAATTGATTTATTCGATTATCCCGGTTTAATGTTTGATATTTTTCCAATTGGTGTATATTTAAAGTTTTAATCTAAAAAGGTAACGGAAAAAAAGACCAGGACTGAATTAAAGGAGAGAAAACAAAAAGAGCGAAGAGGCAATGAATATTAAATTCGCTCCCTCCCTCTCTCTCTCTCTCTCCCACATTCATTCATTCTCTCGATGCTACCTCGTGGGTCGACGAGATCTTTTCTCTAGAAATCGCTCTCCCACCCCCCAATAAAACAAGCTCTCACAAAAGTCCAAATCCTTCCCACCATTCAACTTCTCTCCCAAAGTGACGACCAACCCCGATTCACACGAGATTCTTCCTTGTGAGTGCCATCACTAATCTGCTTCAAAGTTTTCGTTTTTGGTTAATGGGTGTTCTTCATTTGACGCCAATCTGGTTCCCCTTTTGTTATTTACATCGAGATTTCACTGTTTTGTGATCCATGCCTTGCTCATGAGATGTGTTAATAATATGAAACACTTTGCTCTCTTTCTATAACGGTTGATTCATTTCATGGGGTTTAAGTATAAATGTGAACTCTTTCATCAAAATATCCTGTAAAAATGCAACCTTTTTGATGTGTGTGTTGGGCTCTGTTATTCTCAATGTAAAAATGCTTTCTTTTATTTTTTTTTCAGGTTGAGATCGTTCTGTAACTGTTCATGATGGGAAAAGACACCAATGAGATCGAGTTTCACCAGAAAAGACACGGTCTTTTAAAGGACCAAGTCCAACTGGTTAAGAGAAGAGACTCTGTTCGGTACGAGATAGTTCCTATTCAAGATAAGTTGTCATTTGAGAAGGGCTTCTTTGCTGTTATCCGCGCTTGCCAGTTGCTTTCTCAGAAGAATGATGGGATCGTATTGGTTGGTGTTGCTGGTCCTTCTGGTGCTGGGAAGACGGTTTTTACCGAGAAGATACTCAACTTTCTCCCAAGTGTTGCTGTCATATCGATGGATAATTATAATGATGCTAGTCGTATTGTTGATGGAAACTTTGACGGTAAATAGTGTCATGTGAAAAGTCATTTAATAATCTGTTGAGTTATTACAACTTATTTTGTGTCGGGATGTAGATCCACGGTTAACTGACTATGACACGTTGCTCAAGAATCTTGAGGATTTGAAGGAAGGGAAACAAGTTGAGGTTCCTATATATGATTTTAAGTCCAGCTCTCGTGTTGGTTATAGGTAACGGATGATGCATATTGATTTAATCATTGTATGCTTTTATAGCATGGTTATTTCACTGAAGATATTGTTTGTAATGCCATGCTTTTTTTACTTTTGGTTAGGACTCTTGATGTCCCAGCTTCTAGGATTGTGATCATTGAAGGAATCTATGCATTGAGTGAAAAATTGAGACCTTTGTTGGATCTTCGTGTGTCTGTTACTGGTGGAGTTCACTTTGATCTTGTTAAGCGGGTTCTTCGTGATATACAACGTGCGGGCCAACAGCCAGAGGAGATTATCCATCAGATATCTGAAACAGTTTGTTCTCATTTTCTTTTATATCTTTGCTTCTTGGCTATTATTGGTTATCTAAAGTATTTAGAACTAACAACTTCGCTGTTTGTATAGGTCTACCCGATGTACAAAGCCTTCATAGAACCAGACCTCCAGACTGCTCAGATTAAAATCATTAATAAATTCAACCCCTTCACTGGTTTTCAGAGCCCAACATACATCTTGAAGGTGTCTTGTTTATACATGTTATAATATCAAATGCGCTGTAATCTTTGTATTCAGGTGTTTGTTGTCTGCGTTTAGTAAACTGAACTCTTTTTGCTGTTGATTTGTTGTAGTCAAGAAAGGATGTCTCTGTTGATCAGATCAAGGCTGTCCTTTCTGAAGGATACACAGAGACTAAGGAGGAGACCTATGACATATATCTTCTTCCTCCGGGTGAAGATCCAGAGTCTTGCCAGTCACATTTGAGGATGCGGAATAAAGATGGAAAGTACAGCCTCATGTTTGAGGTTTGGCCCTTTGAGAGTTTTCTTTCCATGTTTTCATGAATATGGCTTTACAGTTTCTGAAAATGCTGACAACCTTCTGATTCATTAATGTTGAGATTGCTTAAAGTGAATGTAGTGAATATTTATGGTTCTGATTTTGATATCCAGGAATGGGTCACGGATACTCCTTTTGTCATATCCCCAAGGATCACTTTTGAAGTGAGCGTTCGCTTACTTGGTGGGCTTATGGCACTTGGATACACAATAGCCACCATACTTAAAAGGAACAGCCATGTATTTGCTACCGAAAAGGTGTGTGTGAAGATTGATTGGCTTGAGCAACTGAATCGTCACTACATGCAGGTTTGTCTATCTAAAACTCATTTACCACCAGTTTGCTTGAAAATTGGTAGCATCTCAGCATTGTACAAGAAATTATAGTTCTGTCATGTGGCTTTATATGACTATAGAATAACAGAATTCTAAATTTGTAATAACATCAGGTGCAAGGTAAAGATCGGCAACTTGTACAGAGCACTGCATCGCAGCTAGGACTGGAAGGATCATTCATTCCACGAACCTATATTGAACAGATCCAACTGGAAAAACTGATAAATGAAGTAATGGTATGATTTGTTGTTCAGGCTAAGATCTTTGTCTCTACTACATTTCAAGTGGGTTCCTGATTAGAAGTCCCATTACAGGCTCTACCAGATGATTTGAAGCACAAGCTAAGCTTAGATGAGGATTTGGTGTCTAGTTCAAGCCCAAAGGAAGCGCTCTTACGAGCGTCAGCAGATAGAGTAGCCATGAGAAATAAGAACCTCCAAAGGTACACTTCTTTTGAGGAGTGTATGAGAAAAGCTTTGTTACTTCCAAATCCATGTGTCCTTAAAGTAAGCTATGCCGTTTATGATACAGAGGCATGTCACACTCATATTCAACTCAAAGAGATAAGAATATCTCCAAGCTTGCTGGTTATTCTTCAAGCGATAGGAGGTACGAAGAGAGGAATCATGACCCACCAGCCAACGAGGTTTGAACTTATTCCCTTTTATTCCTTCTTGACAATTTCTAAGTTGTCGTTGTAACTTAACAGTGCAATTGTAATGGTTATTGATCTATTTGTAGGGGTTTATGACTCAGCTCTCGGAGCAAATAGCATCACTCAATGAGAGAATGGATGAGTTCATAAACCGGATGGAAGAGCTAAACTCAAAGATGAGCTGCAACAAAAACTCTCCAACGCAGCAGAGCATGACAGTCCAAACCGAAGTTTGCAATGGCTCAGCTCCAACTTCGTATTTCATTTCTAGTCTAGACAATGGCTGTTTGACAAATTCCATAATGCCCCACTCATCTTCATCTTCCCAGTTAGCCAGGGAATCGCCATTAATGGAAGAGGTAAGTCACCTCACAATATATGTGATTACATATGCTTTTGAAACGCTTAGTTACTCTTTGTGGTGCAAAGCAGATATCAACTATGGCACGTGGACAGCGTCAAATGATGCATCAACTGGATAACCTGTGCACTCTGATGAGAGAAAAGTCAGCAGAAAGGTCACGGCTAGCAAGAACAGGAAGCAACAGAAGCCGATCAAGCAAAAGCTTCTTCTCGTACAATACGGAATCTAGTAGCCTCTTCCCTCTCAAGTTAACAGCCTTGGCTCTTTGCGGCGTAGGGATTGTAGTGATCAAGAGCTATATTAACAAGCGGCAATAACATCAATAACCCCATTACGGATCTTCTCTCTTCTTTTCTCCTTTTTGGATGTTTTTTCTCATTGGAAGCGTTTTGTGAGCTTCCGCGGCGTAGACAATGATATCAATTTTCTTCCCCTGAGCTAGTGTTTTGGAAGACATTCTCAATTAAATTTTATCCAATAAAAGTTCAGTTTATTTAGCTTTTCAGTCATGTTGCTCTTCTTCTTGATCTTACATAATCAAAGACAAGACCTGAATGCGACTTGATAACAGAGACAGAGTTATATACCAATACAAAAAGACATTAATGGACTTGAAAAAGGTAAGAGACAATAATGTACTTAGGCAGTGACACTTTTTGTTCACTCTCTAATAGACACTACAAACTGTTCCTTTGATCAGTCTTCTCCATTGACTGATGATTACTTGAAACCGAAGCTCGGGAGTGTGAAGCAGTTTCAGCTGGAGGTGGTAAAGATATTGACAACATAGAAGAAGAAAAGAGACTGTGTAGTGGCAAAACGGTAAAAATGAGTAACGGTGGAGTGGTAATGATTATTAACGGTTCGATTTGAAATTATATGGTTTTATATAACCGGATCATACCAAATTAAACCGACAAACCGGTCCGGTTAAAATTGGTAAAACATTATTCCACCATCATCTTTCCTCTTCACCTCTCTCTATAAAGGTTCCGACATCAAAATCTCGGACAAGGCGACTCCGTTCTCTCGAACATTCATTCATACAGAACATCGAGCGCCAAATTGAAAAAACATTGAAACATGGTGGTGGACCAAGATCAGCAATGGCTACTCAACTGCTTGACGGCAAGTCTCGACCCTAACCAAAACGTTCGTTCCTTCGCTGAAACCTCACTCAATCAAGCCTCTCTTCAACCTGGTCCGTGCCTTTAATTCTTTTGTGTCTATTGCCCATAAAGTTGAAAGCTTTTGATCGATTCTTCTTATTGAGAAGTATAAAAAAGCTGTCTTTTTTTATTGATCTCATAGTTACTAGATTCTTTTGTGCTTTGTAGGATTTGGTAGCGCATTGTGCAGAGTTGCTGCTAACAAAGACCTCTCTTTGGGATTGCGTCAAATATCCTTTTACATAGCATTGATTGATAGTGTGTGAAGGGTTTCCATTTTTTTTTTTTTTTTAAATCTTGTGGAGCTCTTTAACTTAGTTTTACTTAGCTGCCGTACTGTTAAAGCAGTTCATTAAGAAGCATTGGAGAGAGAACGAGGACGGTTTTGAGTATCCTGTTGTCTCAAATGAGGAAAAGGTACTCTCATCTCACTGTTCTTTGTTTGTTGTTTGGGTTTATTGTTTTGTTTAAGGAATCTCTTTTGGTTTTGTATTAGGCTCTTATTCGAGGATTACTCTTGGGCTCACTTGATGACTCTCATAGAAAAATCTGTACGGCTATTAGTATGGATATATCGTCAATTGCTACATATGATTGGCCAGAAGAGTGGCCTGAGCTTTTACCTTTTCTTTTGAAGTTGATTAGCGATCAGAACAACATCAATGGAGGTATGTTTGTGTTCTTTTTTTGTTGCCTCTAGAGATATATTCTTTGTTACGTCTCATGAGATTGGGATAGAGGTTTCTTTTAGGCTGAATTTTGTTGCTAAATTCAACAGTTCATGGAGCTTTGAGGTGTTTGGCTCTTCTCTCTGGTGACTTGGATGACAAAGATGTGCCTGCGCTGGTACCTGTGTTGTTTCCTTGCTTGCACGCAGTCGTATCCTCTCCTCAGGTTTGTATCCTGATATTGATACGATCTGACTTGTGTTGAATCACGTTTTTGGCATGTTTAATTCCGTAAATGAAATTTTTATTGATGAAGGCTCTTAGGGAACTCACCCGTGTTTTACTTATCATTTGTATATGTAGAGCTATGACAAGTATATGCGAGGGAAAGCCCTTTCAATTTTTTATTCTTGTATATCTGTTCTTGGAGCAATGAGTGGTGTGTACAAGGTACTTTCCTTTTAGTAATTCTCATTCTATACACTAAATTTTAAATGTGTTTTGCTTCGGCTACTTCTGTTATCAGTTGACATATGTAAAGTGTTTATATTCAGACAGAAACTAATACTTTGGTGACTCCTCTACTTAAGGTTTGGATGAATCAGTTTTCACTTATATTGGAACAACCTGTGCAACCTGACGAACCTGATGATTGGAGTTTAAGAATGGAGGTTTGTCTCATCTTCTGATTGTTGTAATTTTGTTCCTGTCAAATGGCTGGAATTGTTTAACATGCCCGTCTTTGTGTTGGTTTTGCCTGATATGATTAGGTATTGAAGTGCTTGAATCAGTTCGTACAGAATTTTCCATTTCTCATGGAAAGTGAACTGATAGGTATGTTTTCACCTGACCCATGTCCCTAGTTTATTTATACATATGCATCTGAAGCGTCTTTATTGAAACATAATATTTTTGCAGCTATTATGAGGCCATTGTGGCACACATTTGAGTCATCTCTACAAGTCTATCTTCGATCGTCAGTTGAAGGTGCCGAAGACTCATATGATGGAAGATATGATTCAGATGGTGAAGAAAAGAGTCTTGACACATTTGTCATCCAGGTAACTTTCCATTTTCACTGATCAAGGTTTTTCCTTCAAGTTCTCATTTTCGAAGTTAAATCTTTTGATAATAGATGGGATATTGGCTCATATATTTGTGTATCTTAATGAGTTTGAGGCCCAATTGACACTGGATTTTGCATATCTGTTTCCTTTGTGCAGCTATTTGAGTTTCTATCAACCATTGTTAGCAGTAGAAGACTGGCAAAGGTTTTGCCGAAACCTTTTCAGTTTTTTTCCTTTAATTTTTGTCGTATGCTGATTTGTTTTTTTACCCATATATCTTCATATAAGGTTCTTGCCAGTAATTTCAGAGAATTGGTATATCAAACCGTTGCTTTCCTGCAGGTTACAGAACAACAGGTAAGGATTAATCATGCATCTTCTGCCTACTCAAATAATGATAAGATATAGTGGTTACATTTTGTCTTTTAAATCTTCGTTGATTTCAGTTATCTGCTTAAATCTTAAAAAAGGCTTTGTTTAATCCTGAGCTTGCTAAGATTCAAGGTGTAGTAGCTAGTTATGTCATCACTTTCCAATATATTAGGTCTCTGAAAAGTGTACAGAATCTTTTGTTTTTATTTGTGCTAGCTTCCTATGTGTTTGCTAGCGAAAGTTAAATTAGTTATATGTGTAACATTGCACACGTCTTTTTAAAAAATCACGTATGTCTTTATCTTTTATCTTTTATCTTTTCTCTACAGGTTCATACGTGGTCCACGGATGTAAACCAGTTTGTAGCCGATGAAGATGAGGGTAGCTACAGTTGTCGTATATCAGGTAAGCTGTCTCTCACTCTTTTTAAGTCAATTCATGTGCTTATATTTAGTCAGAGACAAGATTTGGATGTCATATGCAAAATTTATGAATATGAAAACTATACAATTTTTCAAAATCAAAAGTAAACTATACAATTACCTGCTGCATCACAGGTATACTTTTGTTGGAGGAAGTTGTCAATACTTTTGGTAGGGAAGGGATCAACGCCGTTGTAGATGCTGCTGGAAAGCGGTTCCATGAGTCCCAAAATGAAAAGATAGCTGGTTCTCCGTCCTGGTGGAGAGTAAGTGGACTTTTATTTCTCTTTGTACTTGTATTTTTTAAAAGGTCTGACAATCGTTTCTCTAATTTTTTTTCAAAACTGTCACACCAATTCTGTTAATATTGTTTTCTTTCTACCCGTATGTTTTATTTTTAACTTTCCACTTTACTTAGATATTTTTCATTTGTTAGATAAGAGAAGCTGCTCTCTTTGCTTTGGCTTCTCTTGCCGATCAACTTGTTGATGCTGAGGTTCGTGTTTCCATAGAAATGTAAATGCGAAAAAGTTATTATGGTGGGAAACATATTATCCTTAATATTTTTTATAATCTTTTTCAGGACTTGGGAACTGACCATGCTAATTTAACTAAATTTATTGAGCAATTGATAATGGAAGATACTGGAACTGGTAGGTTTTCTAAGATTTACTGCTCCAGTTTATTTATCCTATTTGGTATTCAAATTGTGTTATATGACTGGCCCCTTTATTCAACAGGTTATCATGAATGTCCTTTCCTTTATGCCCGCATATTTACAGCAGTCGCTAAGTTCTCCTCTTTGGTAATTTCTGATTTTCTTTTCTTCCAATACAACCTCAGTATGTAATAATATTAATTGAGTTATTTTCACGTTAAGCAGCTCAACCCTAGAATTCTTGAGCACTTCCTCAATGCTGCTGTTAGAGCTATCACTATGGACGTGTATGTTTTCTACCCTTCTGCTGTTAGTATCTTTATCGACAGAGATAAATGCTAACATACTAGATACCATTATACACAGGCCTCCACCTGTAAAAGTAGGCGCATGTCGAGCACTTTTGCAGCTCCTACCTGATATGAACCGTTCAGTTATTCTTCCTCAGATCATGAACTTATTCTCATCTCTCACTGATCTTCTCCATCAGGTAAATTTCTCTATTGACAACAAATCAGGATTGGCATGTGTGTGTGTCTATTTTCCTTGTGTCACTTGATATTTTTATCTTTTTCTAGGCTTCAGATGAAACTTTGATTTTGGTACTTGAAACTCTTCAACAAGCAATTAAGGCTGGTAAGTCAACATAATTTCTCTTTACAAAAGTTTTCAGAATCTGGTTAGACAACAATTCTCACCTATTTATTATTTAATGTATCATTTGCTAGGCCATGAAGCATCAGCCTCAATTGAGTCTATTATCTCTCCAGTGATTCTTAATGTGTGGGTGGCACATGTCTCTGATCCCTTCATAAGTATCGATATAATTGACGTCCTGGAGGTAAATAGTTATTGTGGTTATCATTTATCTCGTTATTATAAATGCAATTTCCGGTGCTTGTTATGTTTTGTCACTTACCATTGCATTGCTTTGATTAAAATGAGCAATAAATTACTATGTATGCGACTAATGTCTTTCATATGGCTGTCACACAGGCCATAAAGAATTCACCTGGCTGTCTGCACCCTCTGACATCAAGGATTTTACCATTCATCGGACCAGCTTTAAATAAGGCACTGTTCTGACTTATGATTTCTGAGTCTACTTTTTTCTCTTCCATAGTTTCCTTTTAGATGACATCTTTGTGGTGATAATCAGCCCCATCAGCAATCTGAAGGACTAGTCAGTGGATCCTTGGATCTTTTAACCATGCTTCTCAAGGCAAGTTATACTAGCTGGATTTTCATATACCGTGAAAAATATTATTTGTGCCAAGTGGGACTTCAGTATTTCTCGTATTTTCCTGACTATTTTTCTAGTCATATGTATAGGGTGCCCCAAGTGATATAGTGAAAACCGCGTATGAATTCTGCTTTGATCCTGTCATTCGTATCATACTCCACAGTGAGGACAATAGTGAATTACAGGTGATAAAATTTGCCACGTTTAGTTTGCTTCAGCGTTATCTATCTAGAGATGATCACTTATCACTAGCCTTATAATTTGTCAGAATGCAACAGAATGTCTGGCAGCTTTTATATCTAGTGGAAAGCAAGAATTGCTCTCTTGGAGTGGTGATCCCAGCTTTACCATGAGAAGTTTGCTTGATGCAGCTTCTAGGTACACGTCTTCACTTACCTTTTTGTTTGGTTTATTTCAAGTCCACCAAAAGTTGTAGGCATGTTGTTTTGTGTTTTCTTTTTGCATTTCTATGTTGTGCGTTTGTGAATATATTGGCATGTGAAAGAAAACCAGTGATGATTTTAGAGTATCGTTTTATAAGTGTATTGAGCACCTTAGATTGTTGGTTTCTCAATGTTTTCCAATTGGTATCTGGTTTAATTTACTGTCTCTCTTTGCTAAATTGTTTTCCAAATGTTGGTGCAGGCTTCTCAACCCTGATCTGGAATGTTCTGGATCTTTATTTGCTGGGAAGTACATTCTGCAGCTTATCTTGCATCTTCCGTCAGAGATGGCACCCCATGTCCAGGATCTGGTCGCCGCTCTTGTAAGACGGATGCAGTCTGCTGAAATATCGGGTTTCAGAAGCTCATTGCTACTGATTTTTGCCAGATTGGTATTCTTCACCTTTCACTTGGATAGTTTTTTCCTCTCTTCTATGTAAGATGCTGTTTAGGATCCCTGTCCTACTCTGTAACCTTGGAAGCATCTTTTTCCATTGATTTTTGCAGGTTCATATGAGTTTTCCGAACGTTGGTCAATTTATTAATCTGCTTGTTAGCGTACCAGCTGATGGCCATGAAAATTCATTTGCCTATGTTATGACAGAATGGACTAAACAACAAGGCAAGCATCTATATTAACGTTATCTAGTTGTATGATTCTATTTGTCTACCTGATGCATCAGATTCAGGTTTTTTCTGGCCATTTCAACTTATGGCTGGTTAAGCATCTTTTATTCAGGGGAGATACAAGGGGCATATCAAATCAAAGTCACATGTTCAGCTCTGGCCTTGCTACTGTCAACTAGACATTCCGAATTCGCGAAGGTCAATGTCCCAGGCTATCAGATCCAGGTCTTGTGCTGTACTTTTTATATCTTTTTAGAAGATTCATTCCACTCTCACAACCTTATGGAGACTTGTTTATATTTCTTGTACAGTCAAATGGTGGCATAACCACGCGCTCAAAAGCTAAATCTGCTCCGGAACAGTGGACCATTATCCCTTTACCCATGAAGGTATGTTTTTGTTTGCTTCCTTTGTCTAAACATTGTATGAGTTTTATCTTACTGTATGCTTTCAAAATTTTTACATTAATTGCTCTTGCAGATACTGGCATTACTAGCTGATACGTTGATTGAAATTCAAGAGCAAGTTTTGGGTGGTGAAGATGAGGTGATTATGCTTCCTTGATCATTTTTTTGTTCTCTCATCTCCTGTCTTAAAGTTGAGTGGACAATGAGATGCTATTTCCTTTCTTGGGAGTAAGCAGGATAGTGAATGGGAAGAAGTCGATGAAGTAAACGTTGAAGGTGAGAAAGACCTGCTACGTTCAACTGGTGCCTCTCAATCAAGCAAACCCTCATATGATCAACTTGAAGCAATGGCTCGAACTTTTGAGGTCCTCTTTCTCTTTTTACCTAGAAAGCTATACCATTAAACCGTATCTCATCAGTGATTAAACCATTGTTTCGACAGAACCAAGATGATGGGGATGGTGATGATGACTTCCATGTTACCGACCCCCTGAATGAGGTGATCTCTTGTGTTCTGCATATGTTCGACATAACCTCTTGTGCTTCTACGTAATCCTCCAAATCTTTAATTTGTCTCACCAAGTTTCTTTTTCGGCACAACAAACAGATTAATCTAGCAAGTTACCTGGCTGATTTTATGTTGAAGTTTTCGAGTGGAGACCGGCCTTTGTTTGATAATCTTTGCCAGGTATGTATGGTTTCTATCATCCATATAACGTTTAAAGATCTTGAACTTGATATGAACTGTTTGGCATGTTGACTAAAAACTGCAGGGCTTAACAAATGCGCAAAGAAACGTGATACAGACGGTACTGAACCGCTAGGTTTGGCGTTTACAACCCACAAATCGTGTTTTGAGTGTTGATTTTTTTTGCCAGTTGATTGATACTTTGGGATTAAAGAAGTGGTAGCAACATCCCTTTTGTAAGAGTGGCATTTTTTTCATAATATTCGACTTATAATATATCCCTCCGGTTTGATGTTTTGAGAAGAAGAAAAAATCTTCAGCTTCTGATATTTTTCTTCGATTTTTTCTGCCAAGTAATGTTCAATCATACTGATTTCTTACAAAAAACTAAAAACTGAAAGTTGACAAAATAAACTAAAAAATGATAAATAAAGCCATTAAAAATATTAAACCCACTTGTGTTTGGAAACATCAAAAGCAATATTGATACATATTTTGGAAAACAAAGAGACACACGTTTAGCAGATGCAACCACGCTGCACAATGACAAGATTGGAGTCCGGCTTGATGTTGTAGTAAGCTACGGTGTGTCTGTTTTCAAGCGTGGTGCCAAGAAAGTTAAGATTCAGTTTGTCCACTGGTAAGCCACCCTGATCATGGATCATGGTCTTGACTTTTTTAATGGTATCAGACCCCTTCACTTGGAGGATGAATGTTTTCTCCTTTATAGTCGATACAAAAATCTGCATGAGTGCATCCGGACTTGGATAGGCATCCGGATTCAAACCAAGAACCAGTTGACTGATGGGGCCATACATCTTGAGGTCGATGGTATTGGAGCTATCTTCCACCTTTAGGTTTATGTTTTTTCCCTTTACCGTCTTAATAGAAATCTTCATTGTGTCTCTCCTTTTTTTCTTTGGGGTTTTCTTTATATATATATATATATATATATATATATTTACATCTTTGGGAAGGAATTATCTATTAACTTTACATTTTTTTCAATGATAATATTTACTAAAGATTTCTTCTCGAATTTTGAAAGAAACTATACTTAATATTTTTTTACACAAATCAATAAACTTAACTTTTTTTCTTTCTCGAATTTTGCAAGAGACTATACTAAAAAGTTTTATACATAAATTAAGCAACTTAACTTTTTTTGTTTCTAACAAAAAGTGAAACATCATTTACTATCTATCTAAATACTAATGGTCGTATATCACAAAAAATACTAACGGTAAAACAATGTGCACATACAAACAATCAAAAACATATCATATTCTTTATAAAAAAATGAAACCATTATATTATATAATCTTCTTTCTAAAATGTTGAAAATTTAGAAGAAACTTATTATATAAATTTTGGTTTTTCAAAATTACTAATTAAGATAATTGCGATATGTGTCAAGAGAAAATTAAGATTGTCACATGTGTAAAAAAAATATAATACAACTATCTTTGGTTTAGGATTTAGAAGATATTTAGAAAATAAAAATTATTATAACAAAAAAAACTGTTATGAATTTAGAAAAGGAAAATTACTATTATATAATCATTTACAATTATATTTTGTTTAGGATTTAGAAAAATACTAGCAAATAATTATTTCAGTAAATATTAAATATATTTTTAAAAATAGACATTTTAAAATTCGTTTTTTGATATCACTACTTATTTTATAATTTATTTTTGATGATTACACGCTTTAGTATCATGTTTATCATCAAATTCTTTAAAAAAAAATTACTATTAAATAAACTTATATAATTATCTTTGGTCTGGGTTTAAAAAGAAAAATAACACAAAATATAAAAGATAGACTCGGATAGTTATATTATGATAGCAATTGATCATGTCACAATTGTCCTTGATCTGCAAAAGCTCAACTATATGACACATGGAGAGAGCATATTAAAATGCATTGCCTCACGTTTGGTATAGCTGATGATGACCTTGACGGCAGTTCCTTCATCTCCAACACAACCAAACGAAAAGCAATGGAAAGAAAGAACAAGATAGACTCGTAAAGATGTTGATTTATGAGACTATCTCTGAAACTATCCTCGATACGGTTCTAAAGATAAAATGCACCTCTTGAGAAATCTGGATCTCTATTGAAAACATTTTCGTGATAACAGAGGACGTCATAGCTATCGATAAAAGTACATTCGAAAATTACTAACGCAAATTAACTTGTTTTTGATTGCAGAATAAAAGTTCATATTTTTTACTGACAATTAATAGCCTTTTGTCAATTTTCTTGAATAATAATGGGATATTGCCTGACGGATTTAGACAAACTTTCTGAGAATTGTATAACAATGTATTACGAGATAAATCATCCTTGCATGTTTCATTCTCAGGGTGTTAATTTTTTTTTTTTTTAAACAATTCTTTTTTTTTCTAAAAAACTTATTTTATTCAACATAGTCTATTGAAGATAACAACGTAGAGAAGAAATTAAACATAAATATTTTATAAATTGAACACCAAATCTTAGAATAATATGATAAGAATATTGGGGGAAAAAAAGAGAGAGATTTTAGCAACCGCATAGGTCAAGCACCAAGTGAATGGTCGAGTCATGCTTGATATTGCAGTCAGCTATAGTCCAACTGTTCTCAAGCCGCTTGCCTTGAAATATCATCTTCTGCTGGTCCACTGGAGAACCATCAATCTCAAAGCATTTAGTCTTAACTTCTCTAATGGTATCGGATCCCTTAACCTTAAGGGTATGGGTCTTGCCGGTGAGAGTCACTACAAAAATACGCATGGCTGCTTCAGCCTGACCCGAGGGACGCAGTCGCAAAACTAGTTCACTCAGCGGCTCCCCATGGATCTTAACGTCGATAGTGTTTGAGCTATCTGCGACTTCTAGGTTTATGCTCTTTCCGTTTAATGTCTTGATAGAAATCTCCATTGCAAACCCAACTTTTTTCTCCCTCGCTCTAGATTATTTTTTATAGTACATTATTGAGAAGAAACTTATATATGTTACAATTTCCTATGATAGTATTTTGACCTTTTTGGAATATTTCATATAGAAATATTACATTTAATATCTACTAGATGTTTTACCTACACTTGTAGGAATAATTCTCTTAAAAATATTTACTAGCTGGTGTTTCATTAATTTAAAAACCAACATAATAAATTAATATTTATGTTTTCAAAAAGTACAATTAAAACATCAAATAATTATCAATGACAAAATTTAAACATCGGAAATATTTAAAAGAATATATTTCTATTATTATTTTGCTTGATTTATATTTCATTCTAATATTTATACAAATATTTTTTTTAATTTATATTTGATTATAATCTTTTATATATTAATTTGAAATTTTATAATAGAAAACATATTTTAAAAATAACAATATAATGCATAAGATTTATTTTTAAAAAATATAATATGATAAATTTGTTTTAATTATATAATAATATAGAAATTATGACATATAATTAAAATTACCTAAAATCATGGAAAACTTAATGAATCGGCAAATTCACTTCTTAAATATTTTTTCTTGAGTGATGATTCATATTTAATTAGTAACAAATAATTTTTATATTTTACTTTTAAATTATATAATATAAAAATATATTTTCAAAATAACAAATTAATACATAAAAATTAGATTATTTTATAAAAGTAGACTATTATTAGTGTAAATTTATTTCAATTATAGAATAACTACAATTTTTTTGATGATTTATATTTAATTATTAACAATATAACTTTTATATCTTAATTTAAAGTTTTATAATACGAAAATATATTTTCAACATAACTACATAATACATAAGAATTATCTTATTTCAGAAAAAATATAAAAAATTTAATATAAATTTGTTTTAGTTATATAATAAATATAATAATTTTTATATCTTAATTTAAAATTTAAGTTTTATATATAAAATATATTTCAAGATAACAACATAATTCACAAGAATTATCTTATTTCCTAAAATATGACATATTCATATAAATTCGTTTTATTTATAAATTTGCTTAGTTGTCATGTTCTCCATAAGTTTAGGTATTTTTTTCTTTTAATATTTATATATAATTTATATATATACTATTATTTAATAAATATTAAAAATATGATATATAAATAAAATTACCTAAACTTATGGAGAATATGACAAATAAGCAAATTTACTTTTTAAATAATAGTATAGATATAAATTATATATAAATATTAAAAATATAATAAATAAACAAAATTACCTAAACGTTTGGAGAACATGACAACTAAACAAATTTACTTCTTAAATAATAGTATAGATATAAATTTTATATAAATATTAAAAATATGATAAATAAACAAAATTACATAAACTTATGAAGAACATGACAACTAAACAAATTTACTTCTTAAATAATAGTGTAGATATAAACTATATATAAATATTAAAAATATGATAAATAAACAAAATTACCTAAACTTATGGAGAATATGACAACTAAGCAAATTTACTTCTTAAATAATAGTCAAAATTACCTAAACTTATGGAGAACATGACAACTAAGCAAATTTACTTTTTAAATAATAGTATATAAATATTAAAAATATGATAAATAAACAAAATTAACTAAACTTATGGAGAACATGACAACTAAACAAATTTACTTCTTAAATAATAGTCAAAATTACCTAAAATTATGGAGAACATGACAACTAAATAAATTTACTTCTTAAATAATAGTATAGATTGTAACTATGTGGTTTCATGCACCATGTGTTGGATCAAACTTTTAAATAATTGTTTTTAATATTTAATATTTTATACTTTTATATCAGTATTTAATATTATTTTTGCTTTAATTAAATAAAAATTAAAATAAAGTAAAAATTTAATTTATTTTGAATTATATGTAATAATATATAATTATATATATTTAAAACTGTAATCTTAGATTTATTTTCATTTATTTATTTGAGCTAAGATATGTTAAATCAATTTGTAAAAGTTTGGAAAATGATATAAAATTGTAAAATTTTGCAAAAATACTATATACAGTTTCAAAAATTTGTGGATATCAAAAGTGAATAAATGGTAATGTTCTAAAAATTTTGGATATCAAAAGTAAACAAATTGTAATGTTTTAAAAAATGGTATAACATTTTGACAATCTTATTTAGTATAAAATTGTATAATTCTAAAATAGATAAAATAATATTTTGAAATTTGTAAATTTTATTATATTATTTACTATATATTTAATATAATTATTTTAGTGAAGGTATAAGTTATTATCATATTCTTTAAAAATAATATTTAATGATGACATATAAGTTATTATCATATTTTTAAAAGTTAAGCAAAAATTAAAAAAAAAAAACATTAAATGTGATTGTCCATATCACTTTTTATCTTAAGTCATGTCGTCTTTTCTCATATGATATGTCTTTATTTTTAAGTGAAATTAAATGTAGTGATGACACATTTCAAAATCACTTTAAAATTATAATCTTAGGTTGCTTTTCGTTTATTTGTTTAGTTAAAATATATTAAATAAGTTTTTATAAAATTTGGAAAAATGATATACAATTGTAAAATTTTAAAACAAAATACTAAATACTATTTCTAAATTGTGGATATCAAAAATACACAAATGGTAATGTTCAAAAAAGATGGTATAACATTTTGACAATCTTGTTTAGTAATAAAACTGTATAATTCTAAAATAGATAAAATAATATGTTAAAATTTGTAATTTTATTTTATTTTAATTTTTATATTATTTAATATATATTTCATATATTTATTTTACTAATAGTATAAGTTATTACCATACTTCAAAAAAAAAATTTAATGATGACATATAAGTTATTATCATATTTATAATAGTTAACCAAAAATAAAAAAAAATAATACGAAATGTGATTTTCCATGTCACCTTTTATCTTAAGCCATGACATCTTTTCTTATATGATATGTCATCATGTTCAAGTGAAATTAAATATAGTGATAAAATATGTCAAAATTACTTCATAAATAATATATATAAGAGATATTACAATTTGATATAAAAACAAGAAAACTGGAATAAGTAAAAATATACAATATAAAAATTGAAATATTACATTAACATCTATCTGAAAATGTATAGTGATGACAAAAAAAAATCTGAAAATAAATAGATTTAAAAAAATTATTTCCATATATTTTATATGAAGAGATCGCTATTTGAGGTTATAGGAAATGTCGACGTCAGAATACAAATTCATATTCCAAAAGAAGTCACGTGGTACTATTACATTATAAGAAAAATAATAAAAAATAAGTAAATATATAATAGAAAAAATATAAAATATTACATTAACATATATCATAATATTAAAATTTGATATGAAAACAAGAAAATTAGAATAAGTAAATATACAATAAAAATAATAAGTAAATATACAATATAAAAATGGAAAATACCACATTAAAAATTATCAGAAAATGTATGATTATTCATTTTAAGTAAATATACAATATAAAAATCAATATACTACATTAAACATTTTTCTACTATTTTAGATTTTTTTATTAAATTAATATTTTTAATTACTAATCTAAGTGACAAATTGATTGGTGTTAAGAAGTGTGGTGAATTTAAAGGTTTATTCTAGGGGGTGAGCCTAAGTTTGATTCCATGCTCATCACATTAGCTACCATTTCTAAAATAAACCTTAGTAAACTTGTTTACATAATAATGTCATAAGCGAATGTTTACAGAATTATAATGCTTCGGTTACATACTCTGATAAGTTACCGAAAAGTAAAATAAAATAAAAGTTGACAAAATAAACTAAAAATGATATGTTTCAAGCCATTAAAAATGTTTAACCAAATTCGAAACGACACAATCATATATTGCTTATCCCTTAGATAAAGAACCCAAAATAAACTTTTAAACAGCTACTTGTGTTTTGAAATCAAAAGCATTACTGATAATAATTGGAAAACAAAGATAGACGTTTAGCAAATGCAACCACGCTGCACAATGACGAGATTTGAGTCTGGCTTGATGTTGTAGTAACCTACGGTGTGATGGTTTTCAAGGTTGGTGCCAAGAAAGTTAAGATTCAGCTTCTCAACAGGTAAGCCACCCTGATCATGGATCATGGTCTTCACGTGTTGGATGGTATCGGACCCCTTCACTTGTAGGATGAATGTTTTCTCCTTTATAGTCGATACAAAAATCCGCATGAGTGCATCCGGATTCAGACCAAGAACCAACTGACGGGTGGGTCCATAGACCTTGAGGTCGATGGTCTTGGAGCTATCTGGCACATCTAGGTTTATGCTTTTTCCCTCGATCGTCTTAATAGAAATCTGCATTGCAAGCTCTTTGGTTTCTATTCTTTCTCTCGTTGGAGGTTTCTTTTATATACTTACAATCTGTCAGGAGTGAATTATCTGTTAACTTTACATTTTCCAATGATATCATTTACTATTTGGCTATGTTGACCGTTTATTTGACTAAGACCTCAAGTTGTTAATAAATGATGTTTCACTCTCCTAATAAAAAAAATACAGTTTCTTAATTTGTGTAAAACTTTTAATTATCACTTCTTGCAAAATTCAAGAAAGAAACCAAAGGGCCTGCATGCTATCACAATTGTCGGTCATTACTACCTATCTAAATAACGCAAAAACAATTTTCATGAATACAAAATGATCAAAAACATATACATATTTATTCTTTATTTTTTCATTGAAAACTTTATTGTATAATTTGATATAAAATTTTCCTTTTAAACATAATATTATAATAATGTACGTTAACTATCATGAATTCATTTTTTTTGGGTCTAACTATCGTGAATTCATGACACAAGAGGATGAAAATATAATTACAAATACAATTTGGTGGTGGTCCTATTTAGCTAATGAATGTGCAACCTCATTAAACTCCACTGAGATAAAAGAACAATGATTTTATTTTGGTAAACTTTTTTTTGAAACTTAAGTAAACATTTTATTGCGGAAGGAAAAGTTCATGTCATTTACAAACAGTTAGTAGCTTCTCCCAGTGTTCAAGAAAAATGGTGGGTTATTGCCTGGCGGTTTTAAATTGCATTTAGACAGAGCTGTTTAAAATGAACCATTTTCATTTTTTCATAAACATATGAAACGTCATGTACTTCGAGATATATCATCATTAAGAGTTTCTTTCTGATGGGTGAATTATTCAGGTATTAATTTAGAAAATAGTGGTTGAGTTTCTTTAGTTGTTTTCCTTTGTCACGTAGACAATAACTTAAAATATCTGCTTTATTAATCAAACTCCAAGTCTTGAGAAATGATATGAGATAAAACATTGGAAAACAAACAAACAAAAAACATTTTAGCAACCGCAAAGTCTATACATCAGGTGAAGGGTCGACTCATGTTCGATGTGGGACTCAGCTACAGTCTGACTGTCCTCAAGCCTGCGGCCTGCAAATAGCAAGATCAGCTGTTTCACAGGAATGCCTTCAATCTCCTCCAGCTTAGCCTTGACATCTTTGATGGTATCCGATCTCTTAACCTCGAGAATACGTTTCCCGCCCTTAAGTGTCACTACAAAAATACGGAAGGCTGCTTCATCCCGAACCGAAGGACCCAGTCGCAAAACCAGTTCACGCATCGGCTCCCCATGGATCTTAACGTCGATAGCGTTGGAGCTATCTTCAACCTCTAGGTTTATGGTCTTTCCCTTTAACGTCTTGATAGAAATATGCATTGCAATTTGCAAGCCCACTTCTCTTCTCTATCTGTAAGTCTCTTTAGGGTTATGCTTTTATAGTCCGTCTTGGAGAAGAGACTTTATATGTTTTACTACAATTTCCCATGATTGATAGGTATCCGTTGTCTTTTTGGAAAACGTCTTTTTATTGATTAAAGCTATTAATGATCGATGAAAAAGCCAAACGCTGTCCCTTTGGTTTCTCTTTTAGAATGTTGAAGTTTTAAATCTTTTGTGTTCGTTCACTAGACTGTGTGAATACAAGGTGTAGAAGACCGATTTTTTAATATATTAAATTCCTTTTTTTAATCGTGTAATAGCTCAATAAAGTTTATTGAATAAACATATTCTTCCAGGAAATATATATGTTTGACTGAGTTCACTAATAAATATGCATTATCCATATATCCTCAGAGTCTATGCTGAATAGTTTCACATCACTAGAACGATTTCACTATAGAGTGTGTGTAACAATGTTTTATCTAATACTTTGGTAACTGCATGCATGCAGAACAGTTCTATATCACATAGACCACTTCAATTTCTAACCACATATCCTAAACAAATTAATAAATGGAAAAAGCAACATAATATGCTTGAATTTCTTTCTATGATTGCCCGTTCTTTTCATATTTGAAACTCATGATTTTCAAATATTCGAATGGTGATAGAAACATTACAAGACACACATTCACGAGTATAATATACAACTATCAAGAGCATCTGCAATGGCGGATCCTTGGGAAATCTTTAGGAAAAAAGAAAAATGGTTATTTCAGATTATATAAGGATATTTTAGATTTTTTATTTAAAAAAAAAATTGATCACTCACGGACCATCACGTGGGCAGTGGAGCCCGCGAATAGTGTAAAGATCAATCTTTACATAAAAATTTTAAAGATAAAATCCTTAACTGTTCATGAGACCCATTGATTATAAAATTAATATTTCTCTAAGTATTCCCCTAAGGATTCGCCATTGC